TCTCCGAGAAGCGCCTGATGAAGTCGCATAGGGACTCCTCGGAGGACTAATGAAGCTTCTCTAGGTCATACTTGGTGCCAGGCTGCTCGCACGTAGCCATGTAATTGCCGGTGAAGACTTTCTTGAGGTCGTCCCAAGATCGAATGGAGTTCTCCCACTGGCTGAGGAGCCAGTTATTTGCAGACTGGTTAAGCATGACAGGAATATAGTTCACCATGATGTCTTCGTCTCCGCTCGCGGCTTTCACGGCGATCGTATAGAGTTAGCCACTGAGTGGGGTTGGCCTTTCCATCATAGGTGTTAACACCAATGACCTTGAAACCCGTAGGCCACGGGAAGGCTTGAAGCCTTTCCATGAAGGGGCGAAATCCTGATGCACGGGCAGGGAGTGGTGCTTGACGGGTAGCAAATCCCTCATGTTCGGTGTCGAATTGCCGATGACGTTCCATCTCTGCTTCGTAGCGTGCGGACCTATTATTTTCAATGCAGCCATGGACATCTGCACCGGCATTGATGTGGTCACGAAGGTCACGGGGGAGGGGTTGATTAATCTCCTGGTTGCGGTTGTCGCCCGACCTCCCTGGGGGCATAGAGGGCGAGCGTCGTGACATGAATGAGCTTCATAGTTGCCTCTAGATCCTCTATAGAGGTAGGGACCTCTAGCCTAAGGTCGGGGGGCCCTTGGCGCCGTGATGCTGGCCTCCTCCATCACAGCAAGAGCGGCGGCTATGAGCTGATGCGGTGGAATAAGATGGGGCGTCGTTCTGAAACTCGTTGACTTGGACTTGCGCGGCTATGATATGTGCTCGGACCTTCTCAACCTCTGGAGTGTGAGGGAGTTTGTCGAGCTCATTGAAAGCGATGGCTAGGTTGGTGCTTGGAGTCTGGTAGACTGGTTGGTCGCCCACCATGTCCAATGCCTCTTTCAAATTACGTTGATGGTGGGGCGGGCTATGACCATCCTCGTTGACCACTTGGCCTACTTCTGCATCTCGGTGTTGTTGGTGATCGACGTTCTTCGCTAGATGAGCTTCGCGCTCTTTAGTGGTTTCACCGTCCTTGGTGACGCTGTCGTGGCTGACATGAAAAATCATGCCCTCGAACCCCAGTGGGAAAGTAGGGCAGCTTGGCACGGTCTTGGTTGAGCCTTCAGAATAATCGTCGGGGCTCTCGTTTAGAACATTATGGAGAGATTCGGTCGGAAGAGGAGAATCATCCGAGAGCTGGCAAATAGCCACCTTGTTGACCACGGGCGCAGGCTGACCGGAGTTAGTCGGGTCGATCATGTAGAGGTCGATGGTGTGGTCACGCTCGACGTGGTCGACGAAGAGGTGGTGGACGACGTTCTGCTAAGCAGATCCCGCAACCTCTAGCCCGAAGGGATAGGGCCTTGGTGGGTTCTCCATCGGGGCCTCGTAGTCGACCAAGCATAGGCCGGTAGCGGGAAGTGGTCGGCGCCGCGCCGTGCGCCCCTCTGGAGCAGCCGTGATCACCAGATCAGAATCTAGCCATTTAGAATGGTGTGGCCAAGCAGGTCGCTCGGTCGCAGCGGCTTGGTGATCTTGGAGTGCAGAAAAATCGTCACTTGCTCTAGATTGATCTCGAACCAAATCCACGATGAGCTAGCATTCTGTTAAGCGATCTGTGACCCGATCGATGGATGCGATCAGATCATCATTGCTGATAGATCTCCTAACCTAGCGGCGGGGCACTGGGATCAGAGATGTCATTGCAGGTGTTGGTGCGATCGGCGTAGGGTGATCCTACACCGCCTCTATGATCTCCTCGTTGCCGTTGGGGCCGATGATCCATGTCATGGATCCAACCGTGAAGATCTGGCCTCGCTCGAGAAGGGCCATGGAGCTCGAAAAAGTGACCATCTGGTTTTCTCATGCGCACCTCCACCGATTCATCTACTACCATGGGCATACCCCTCGGTAGACTGTCGATCAGATTTTGTTGATAGTGCCATGGGATCAGCACGCACACCCCCTACCTGGCGCGCCACTATCGACGAAATCTGATCGGTAATCTACCGAGGGGTATGCCCACGGTAGTAGATGAATCGGTGGAGGTGCGCGTGAGGAAACCAGATGGTGACACAGAACGCAAGAGACAACGATTAGACACGTTTAGGCCATCAGCTTCATGTAATACCCTACGTCATGTGTCTTTGTAAATTATATTGTGTATGATCAGATGAAAAATGAGGGGGATCCCTACCCGTCTTATATAGTCCAAGGGTAGGATTACAGATCGGTTGTTTCTATTCTGATCGGTTTAGAAGATAGGAAGTTATAGATATTATGGGATCTAGCATATTCGAGTGGGTTTACTAGATCAACGTGGATCCTTACGTAGTCTTGCAAGGCACGCCGACGTATGTCGTACCTCACGCTGCGTCGTCTTGTAAGCTTAGCCTCCACCAGTAGCGCGACCCATGCACAGCCTAGTGGGCTGGGCCTCTCCTGACGGCTCGACCTATGTACAGCCCTATAGATATCGGAGGTTATACCCCATAGAAATATATAGCAAAAATAAAAATATTAACAATTAAACAGAAAACACAGCTAATAATATAAAATATAAAAGCGAATTTTAAGGTTTCTGAGACTTATAAGTTGGGGAAAATTGGATCCATACCATCAAAAGAACATGTCTTTAGATATATACCATCAAAAGAATCACCTTATGATACTTACCATCAAAAGATGTAACTTTCTAGCTCCTTACCATTTCTGTGAACCATACGTTAACAGACGTTAACTGTGACAAGTTTACCCTTGCTTGTAACATTTACATAGCTGCACTCAAACTCCCCTCCAGCAATAATGTAGCTGCACTCCAGCCCCAATTTCAGCAGCATTATAACAGGATATAAGAGAACATGTAAAACACTATTTCACTAGGATATAACATAATATCTCATCAACATATAACACAACTTTTGAGCATTATATATCATGATTTTGGTTCCATTCCAGTACCATAATAGCTGATAGTTTGCAAGTTCACAGCTGAATACCATAATATGAAATAGTGTTGCATAGCGGCACCATATTTACACACATAGAGTTGGACAAAAGACCACACTTGCCCAGCCATGCTCACACACAGATTAGAGTTGAAAAGGTAATGTTTCTAGCTAATAATGAGCCTACGATTAATTCCTCCAGGTGAGATAGACGCCATCCTTCTTGTTGTAGGACCTGGGCTGATCGGAGAAAGAGAAGACATGCTTCTTCAGCCTGTTCGGCAGGCCGTAAACGATCGTGGATTATTTACTGCTGGCTGATTTGGCTGGTTTGCTGTGAGAGAAAAATACTGTTCCGGCTGGAAATTTACGATCGTATACGAGCAAGCCCAGCCTGCCGAACAGGCTGCTTGTTGTTACACCTGGACTGGACATCACTTTTGGATCAGCAGTAGTTTGTGATGGTTCAGCATCAACAGTGGAGACTTCGACAACTTTAGATTTGGATTTTCTAGGAGGCGCAACATGGATTAGACAGGGAACAAAATGCATTACACATAAGGCATGATTTATTATTTACAATACCTTTGCTTTTTTGTTTTTTTAGACGAGGTGGTGGAAGCTCTTGTTCTAATTCAGCTTGAGTAGCAGTACAACTCTTCTCTATATGTCCAAACTGAAAGCACCTTTTGCATTGATATGTGCCTCTTTTTTCTGCTTCTCCACTAGCCTTGATTCTTTTCTTCCTTGGTCTACCAGCAGGCCGTTCTAGCTTTGGAGGAATCATTTTAAACCCAGGGTCAAAATTTAGCCATTGTGTCTTGTCACCCATTGGAGTGATCACAAATTGATAAGCTGCCTTGAACCTCTCTACTGAATAGTAGTCATCCACAAAGTTCTCAATGTTAAGTTGTCTATCTTTCCCAAATAGAGCTATTGCATGAGTGCATGGTTTTCCATAAATCTGCCATTGTCCACATCCACAGGTTATTTTTTGGATGTCAACAACAACTCTCCAATTCTTCCCTTCTTTTGTTATTCCTGATATCTCACCTGACATTGTACCACTCTTCTGGATTTCATAGTGGAGTCCTCGGCTCTTCATGTTCAACTCATGTAACACACTTGGCAGGATACGCCCTTCCATTCTATTGGCTATCACTTGCCTTGTGTAAATCTTCTCCATGATCTTCTCCCTAATCTTATCCATTAGATCAGTAATTGGAAGATCTTTGTAATATTTAATCCAATTGTTAAAGGATTATGAGATGTTGTTGTTAACATAATCAACTTTGCATTCTTTTGAGAACTTAGATCTGCTCCATTTCAGCTTGTGATGCCTATTTAAAAACGGAACTGCTTTAGGACTAGTTGCTGCAATTTTCTCCATTAGTATGCCATACCTATGATCTGTACATGCCCATGCATAAGGCCACATATATTTCAGCACATCACCCTTGAACTTTTTCCTAAAATTAGCCATTAGGTGCCTAAAACACTCACGGTGCTCCACATCACCTTTGAAGACCTTATTGACTGCATATGCTAATCCCTTACAAGCATCAGTGTGAATTATTAATCCAGGGGGAGTCCCAACTGCTCTTTTCAGCTGTGCCATGAACCATGCCCAGTTGGAATTTGTCTCTTTGCCAAATATCCCATATGCAACTGGATACATCCAGTTGTGCCCATTAATTGCAGTTGTTGTAGCTAACTGGCCTTTATACTTTCTAGTAAGGTGAGTGGAATCAACCCCAAGGTAAGGCCTGCACCTAGCCATAAATCCATCAATACATGCTCTAATTGCAACAAACATCCTAGAGAAGTACATTTTTCCATTAATTTTCTTGCAATCAATCTCAACAATGCTTCCTGAGCAACAATCTTCTAGTGCTGCTTTGAATCTCCATAACATTTGAAAGCTCTCCTCCCAAGTACCATGAAGATCCTCCAATGCAGACTTCTTTCGAGACCATACATTAAAATATGACAATTCAATGTTGTAGTGTTTCTCCAATCTTCTCTGTCATTTCTTTGCACTTATAGTGGGATCCTCCTTTACAACATCTTTCACCTTTTCAGATACCCAAGCTATGGAAGCCTCTCGACCCTTCATCTTGCTTGTACGAGAACAAGTGTGGACATCCAATCCTGAGAGTTTGATCACCATGAATGTGTTGCCACCATGTAGTTTCTTTGCAAACACTCTCCAATTATAATTTTGATCTGCACACCTTGCCCTGTACCTTTTTGTGTCACTATGTTCAATTATAGTTTCAAACTCATTTTTGATGGCATATTGCCTAATAGTGTGGACAAAAGCATTCTTGTCTACAAACGTGTCTCCCTCAATGATTGGATTCTCTTTATCATGTGATGTGTGAGGCGCCAGAAAATCATCAAGTATAGTAGCCTCATCATCGGGTACAACTTCACTATCAAAGTCTCTAATTTCTGGAACAGACCTAGCCCTCTTTCTTTGATGCATGTCTACTTCAACTGGATCAATGACTACATGATCGACATTTTTAAAGTACCTCCACTCTTCATTTGTTCCAGTTGGCTCATCTCCATTAGGATCACACCCAGCAGTCATAAAGTGCTCATTCTCTTCCTCTATAGCCATTGGTGGCCCTGCAGTTGTTTCCCCATATTTAGGTGCTTCTGCCCATGCAAATCCTTTGTCCAGTGTCTCCAAATCATTGTCCACTGCAGTAGGCATCACCTCCTCTCCTATGTTAACTGCAGCAGGCATATCCTCTTCTCCTGTGTTCACTACATCAAGCATCTCTTCCTTTACTGTGTTCACTGCAACAATCATCTCTTCTCCTGTGTTCACTGCAGCAAGCATCTCTTCCTTCCATGTGTTCACTGCAGCAGACATCTCCTCGTCTCTTACATTCAGCTCACGTCTGCCCACTACCATGAACAATTTCACTAGTCTAGATGCCCTTAGCAAATCAAGAAGCTGAGCATCGGGCGCCAACTTGCATGTCACATTATCCCCTGATTGAACCCAGAAATTTGCGTACTCTTCTGAATCAACAATCCAACTTACTGTCCTACCCCGATTGTACTCCCTTCTACCGTCTTTGATAGTGAAGTAAGCATTGACGGTGACCTCTACTCTGCATGCACTTTTTGGATCAATTCTGCAACAATAGTTACCAACATATGGATGGGAGACCACATGTAAGGACCAATCGATAGCAATTCCAAGTTCAGGACAGAAAAAATTGCAATTCCAAGTTCAAGACAAATGACGGTGACCTACCAGCAAATTAGATAAATAAAAATTACAATAAGTTGCAGAGGCTTAGAAGACAGAAAAAAGGATCTTACCCATACGGAACCTCGGCCGGATCCATTCTGCTCAAATCAGGACAAATTGCTCAGCACTATAAGAGGGGAAAAGACTAGGGTTTAGAACCAGGAAAAAATAAGGGAGGAAGAAGAGGAATACAGGGATACACACCATGGAGTAGAGGGCAGCGCCGTCGAGGAGGCAGCCACCGCCGATGAGGCGCGCTGCTATGGAGCCTGAGCCACCGCCGGGGAAACGTGCCACCGCGACTCTTTCTCATGGGGCGAGCGCCGCGCACTGGAGGTCCACGACGCGACTCCTCACACGGGAGCAAGTCGAAGCTTTTGGCCGTCCTCATGGCTGTGTTGGTTTGCCCAAGGGCAAAAACGGAAGTTGAAAAATGTGTAATCGGCACACAGGAAAAGGGATTAACGATCTTGTAACGGAAGCAAACGGAATGGTACATAGCTATTGCATTGTGATCTTTTGATGGTAAGTATCATAAGGTGATTCTTTTGATGGTATACATCTAAAGACACGTTTTTTTGATGGTATGGATCTAATTTTCCCTATAAGTTGGATCGAATTTATCAGTGGACCTAGTAGGACCCATCAAAGGCTCAATTGTGGGCGGCTAAGACTGTCTCCAATAAGGAATCCATATAGGTATCCAAATCTAAAATGGGTAGCAAGAGATCTAAAATCAGCCTCCAACAGAGTACTTGTACGGGAGACCTATTTTGGGTTGCCTGACAGGCACAACTCAAATATGGACATCTTCTTTTTTGGAAACTTATTCGTAGAAATGATTCTCTTTTGGATTTGATTGTCGGAGAAGATACTAAATATGTATAAAATCTTGTGTCTGTAGTGTTATCTAAATAACGAATATGCCTTGTATTTTGGATGTTGTCGTTGAAGATAAGGAAAGCCAGCTAGATAACAAGTCGCTGCGCATGGAACTTCGAGGCAGAGGGCGAGGCCCCGGCGACCGGGTCCGGCGGCAGCTGCAGTCGGTGGGGCGGCTGGCAGCATACTTCGGCGGAGGATTCCTCCTCTTCTCCGCCGCCTCCTCCGTAGCTGTCCGCTCCCTCCGCGCCCTCTCCGACGCCAACCAGGTGCGCGCTCGCCCCGTTCCCCACCCTCCGAAGCGCGAACCCTTTCGGTTTCTGCTGTCGTGCTGCTCCGCGCCGCGATTGACTCTAGTGTCCTGCGCTTCGTCAGAGGAAGTACGCCATGCCGTGCGGCGCGTGCGAGGGGAAGGGCACCCACGCGTGCAGGCTCAGCAGGGGCAGCGCCACCGTCGAGTGGTCTCCGATGCACGACCCGGTGTTCGTCAACCCGTGCCTCTGCCCTACCTGCGATGGGACCCGGTTACCCACCTCCGCCGCCGCTACTGCTGCTAAGTTCCTGTGATTATGGACTTATGATATGGATGTTTGCTGATTTTTTCCTGTTTTATTTATCAGGGTGCAGCGTTGCTTGAACTGCCTGGGAAATGGTTATGCTTGAAGAAACAATGTGCTTATCTTGATCGATGAACTTTCCTCGCACGGTTAGTTTTCACTATGGTAGATGATTGTTGGGGAGTCCATTAAACACAGGGAAACGAAGCTGCTCTTCTTGCTGTTGGGAGTGTGCTTGATGGATTGTTGAATTGAATGATTTCTGCAGGGTGCTGTTCCTATTCAAAATGAGAGATCAACGGGTGAAATGGAAGTGACATGCTTGTACACCCTTATGTGCCAGAAGTACAGATTTCAGTTGTTTGGTGAAAGATGTATCTATGGTTGTAATGAAGCTCATTGTGGGCCATGCGTACAAGCCAAGATCATGGTGGCAAGTCATTTGCTCAATTTTTCCTATCTGTTAGTTTATGAGATAGTTCATTGCATTTCTGTAGTATGTATCTTCTTGGCCATTTTCATCCTAACCACATAGCAATGGTTTGTTTTGCCTGAACTGAAACTGAAGACTGCTAACTATCTTCTTTTTTTCTACTCGCTCTTAGAATAGTCAGAACGTGTCTCTGTCGGAGTGAACTGGCCAATTAATTCGTGTCTGATGTCTGTATTCTTAAGGACCTGTCATGTTGAAGGAAAATGAAAGATGCTGGGCTATACAACTAACACCGATAGTAACCTTATGCCTTCTTTTCAGACTTATTCTTAGAATTTGTACAGACGACGTATTCGTCATCGTGCAAGAATAGCTTGAAGGATGGTGTCTAGTGTCCACAGAGAGAATTAATAGAGCCATTCCGTCTTCAAGATGTACAAACCTAGATGCCCTACGAATGTCATGTCTTAAACGTGCCTTCTTGCACTTCACATGAAGAGCCCCTGAGAGCATATGAACCCATGAATCGACGATATATTGCAGACACCATGAATCGACGATATATTGTGGCCTGCAGACCATGACATGACCTCACACGGCTATGATATTCTGTTGTGGTAACAACATGACGTTAGAACCTTTCCTCTCCCATTTTTCCTAGTGCAGTTTCACTACCTCGTGTTCCATTCAGCAAAGGGGTATAGATGTTCACACTTGTATAACTATCCGACATCACTGACATTGATGTTTTGGTCCTTCTCTGAAGGTGCAATTGATGCAATAGAAAAATTGTGCCATCATGTGCACTCCAATCAAATTCTGCTAATGATCGCATTCCTCAGCCTGAAGGAGTTTCAGAAGTTGAGCAACAGGGGGTTTCTATAGTGCAAGTATTGCAGTTGACCTGCATGCCAATCAGTGATGTGACGTCCAAATATTATGGCTCAGATTGTTCATCGTAACCACCTTTTTGCTGTTTACTTCAACTTGGCCTATTTTGTGAGCGGTTGCAATGATAACTGAATACGATTACAGGGTACAGGAAATCTGTTGGTCAACTGTTCTTTGTATCTGCCAAGTGTGTATGGCTCAAGATCAAATATCTTCCACCCTGAAGTATCATGTGTTCCCCGTGAAGCTTCAAATTCAAAAAATTGCAACCAGAAAGATGCCATCCAAATATCCAATGTGTGCAGCTTATCTGGAACAAAAGGTTTGCCATGTGGTTTGCAGATATACTCTGAAAGATATGTGGTTTGCAGTTGCAGAAAGCTCTTGTTTTCTTCTTTGTGGTCTACTTGCCCTGTGAACCCAATAAGCTCAAGCATGTTAGGAACATTGGTTGGTACTTGGTGATGTTGCCTGTTGAAAAAACTACTAGGGGTCGGGAGGCTAGTACCAGATACTACTAAAAAAAATCCCCTAGGTGTGTTGCACCCATATATTGCTATGTGCAATTATATGTTTTGAGAATGCTAGAAAAATATGAAAGGATAATAGGTAACCCGATAAATGAACACGAGAAAAGCTGTATTCATTTTGACACCTTATACGAACAGATTTATGAGTGCTGGGTGTGATCGTAATTTTGCTCTCTTATTTCCTCACGTTTCACATGTATTTGTCCATAATCTACTGTGCACATCAATATAAATTGACCATTTACACGCCTAACAAATGACATGTCGCAAACAATTTTCTCTGTCAAAACGTTATTAAGGGTAGAGAGTGAAAACGCTGCAATAACTATGCTCTTGATTTCCACAATGCAATAGATATTTTAAAATGTTTTACTTCTATATGCTGTACTCCGGGGCTATGAACGAATTTGATGAAAACGGAGGGACAACGATGTACAACAAGAAAAGAAAGGGACGTCTGTCTCCTTGACTCCTTGTATCCCAACCTAGAGAGGAAGAATTTTTTATTTTTAACACTTTTTGTAAACTAATTTTGAATCTAACACTGTTTTTTTTTTTAAAACTAACACTTTTGTCCGCGCCTATTTCTCTGGCACAGCGAAACATCTGTGCCGCGCTATGCATGGTGGCGCGGCGAGAGGGATGACGTGGCGACGACCGGGACGCTAACCGGTGACGTGGCCGGGGTTGCCGCGCCGTGGATTTAGGCGCGGCGATCGACGCTGCCGCTCCTGAGCATGGTATGACCGCTTTCTGCATACTGATCGCGACTCTGCATCTGATGTGACTCTGCCCGCTCTGCGAGTCGCCATGTGGCGGCGCGGCGTGGCGGCAGCGAAACACACCGCCGCGCGTGAGCAGTGAGGCCCCGAATGTGGATACGTGGTCCGCATAGGTATGAATGGGCTTAAAACACGCACCAGCTAGTTGAGTCAAGTCTATTCATGCAAAAGGACGCACATGAGATGACTATTCTAGCAAGGTGCAGACGTGCAGCACCCAACCAGTGTATGGATGTGCATGCTCTAGATAAATTTAGTAAAGGAATCTTGATTAATTTATATAACTAGCATGGATCAACGACCCTAATTCTTGACGACATCACTATTAATAGTAAAAGATGACGTGTATAAAGAAAATGGTAACTAATTAAGTAAGTGATATTTAATAGAGTAATATTAATTGTCTCATGAATGGTATATATAACGTGAATGGTGCCTAATTAACGTAGTTCTTGTCATATGGTGTTGAGTAGTAGTAAACCAAAGAGTAGAATATGTCACATCTCTAGTTTGCTTGAACGGCTATCTCTCTGTATGCATGAACAGTTAGTGCAACATGAACAGCTACCTATATGTGCATGAACAGCTACCTATATGTGCATGAACAGCTAGTTGAGCCTAGGGTGACATGCTAGTATGAGAGCTACAAGTACCAGCAGGTGGGACATTACCTGCTCCTATCAGTCGTCCGACTTTCACTTCAGCGAGCCCCAAAAACGAGTACACTATTGCTCAATGTGTGTGTTGCAAGTCCGATCAATGCGTGTGTGTGCTGGTTCGCTTGAGACGATTGAGCAAATGCTAGAAAAATATGAAAGGATAATAGGTAACCCGATAAATGAACACGAGAAAAGCTGTATTCATTTTGACACCTTATACGAACACCTTATAAAATTTGAGTGTTCTATGACCTTAAAATAATCTTGCTGAATCATCTCAAGCGAACCAGCACACATACACATTGATCGGACCTGCAACACACAAATTGAGCAATAGTGTATTCGTTCTTGGGGCTTGCTGAAGTGAAAGCCGGACGACTCATAGGAGCAGGTAATATCCCACCTGCTGGTACTTGTAGCTCTCATACTAGCCTGTCACCCTAGGCTCAACTAGCTGTTCATGCACATATAGATAGTTGTTCATGCTGCACTAACTGTTTATGCATACAGAGAGATAGCCGTTCAAGCAAACTAGGGATGCGACATGTTCTACTCTTTGGTTTACTACTACTCAAAACACCAGATGACAAGAACTACGTTAATTAGGCACCATTCACGTTATATATACCATGCATGAGACAATTAATATTACTCAATTAAATATCACTTACCTGATTAGTTACCATTTTCTTTATACAGTCATCTTTTATTATTAATAGTGATGTCGTCAAGAACTAGGGTCGTTGATCCATGCTAGTTATATAAATTAATCAAGATTCCTTTACTAAATTTATCTAGAGCATGCACATCCACACACTGGTGGGTACTGCACGTCTGCACCTTGCTAGAATAGTCATCCCATCTACAGGATGCTAGTCCTTTTGCATGAATAGACTTGACTCAACTAGCCGGTGCGTGTTTTAAGGCCATTCGTACCTATGCGGATCACGTATCCACATTCAGTCTCACTCGTTCACGTGCGGCCGTGCCTGCCTACCTACCTACCCGCCGCCCGTTGGCGACTCGCAGAGCGGCAGAGTCGCAGTCGTATGCAGAGGAAAGAGAATGAACAGCTGAGTGCGGGTCCGACCTGGCCTTGCCGCGCCATGCTCCGTGGCGCGTCAGTACCGCGCCTAGACCCGCGGCGCGGCAGCCCCAGCCACGTCACCGGTCAGCGCTCCGGTCGTCGCCACGTCATCCCTCTCGCCACGCCACCATGCATGGCGCGCCACAGACGTTTCGCCGCGCCAGAGAAATAGGCGCGGACAAAAGTGTTAGTTTAAAAAAAACAGTGTTAGAATCAAAATTAATTTACAAAAAGTGTTAAAAATAAAAAAAATCTTCCTCTCTAGCTTGGGATACAAGGAGTCAAGGAGACAGACGTCCCTTTCTTTTCTTGTTGTACATCGTCGTCCCTCCGTTTTCATCAAATTCGTTCATAGCCCCGGAGTACAGCATATAGAAGTAAAACATTTTAAAATATCTATTGCATTGTGGAAATCAAGAGCATAGTTATTGCAGCGTTTTCACTCTCTACCCTTAATAACGTTTTGACAGAGAAAATTGTTTGCGACATGTCATTTGTTAGGCGTGTAAATGGTCAATTTATATTGATGTGCACAGTAGATTATGGACAAATACATGTGAAACGTGAGGAAATAAGAGAGCAAAATTACGATCACACCCAGCACTCATAAATCTGTTCGTATAAGGTG